CGAAGGAAAACTCCCAGACTCATTTTATGAAGGCAGCATCACTATGATTCCCAAGACAGACCCAGCAAAAAAAGAGAACTACAGGCCAATATCCTTGATGAATACAGATGCAAAAATCTTCAACAAGATACTTCCAAATCGAATGCAACAGCACATAAAAAGAATTATCCACCATGATCAAGTGGGATTCATTCCTGGGCTACAGGGCTGATTCAATATTTGCAAATCAATGTGATACATCACTTCAACAAAAGAAATGATAAAAATCATATGATCCTGTTGATAGATGCAGAAAAAGCATCTGACAAGATACAACATCCCTTCTTAATAAAGACCCTCGAGAAAGTCAGGATAGAAGTAACTTACTTAATCATAAAAACCATCTACGAGAAGCCCTCAGCTAACATCATCCTCAACGGGGAAAAACTGAGAGCTTTCCCCCTGAGATCAGGAACACGACAGGGATGTCCACTCTCACCACTGCTGTTTAACATAGTGCTGGAAGTCCTAGCATCAGCCATCAGACAACAAAAGGAAATAAAAGGCATCAGAATTGGCAAAGAAGTCAAACTTTCACTTTTCACAGATGACATGATACTCTACATAGAAAACCTGACAGACTCCACCAGAAGCCTACTAGAACTGATCCATCAATTTAGCAAAGTTGCAAGATACACAATCAACGTACAGAAATCGGTTGCATTTTTATACACTAACACTGAAGCAACAGAAAATCAAGCAACTGATCCCATTCACAACTGCACAAAAAACCATAAAATAACTAGAAATAAACCTAACCAAAGATATAAGAGATCTGTATGATGAAAACTATAGAAAACTTATGAAGAAAATTGAAGACACCAAGAAATGGAAAAACATTCCATGCTCATGGATTGGAAGAATAAATATAGTTAAAATGTCATTACTACCCAAAGCCATCTACACATTCAATGCAATTCCAATCAAAATTGCACCAGTATACTTCTCAAAACTAGAACAACCTATCCTAAAATTTGTATGGAACCACAAAAGACCCCGAAGAGCCAAAGTAATATTGAAGAATGAAACCAAAACGGGAGGTATCACCATCCCAGACTTTAGCCTCTACTACAAAGCCGTCATCATCAAGACAGTATGGTATTGGTAAAAAAAAAAAAAAAAAAAAAAAAAAAACAAAAAAAAAAAAAAAAAAAA